ATAGTTATCAGAAAATCTATAATTAGTCAGGCTGGAAACAAGGTAATAAACTGCCCAGCAGAGAGTAAGGGAGTAGTGCAGACTTGACATGAATTTATCTTTCTTTTCTCTCTCTTTTTTTTTTTTTCTTAACACACTGGTTACCAAATTTAGCTTTTTCTACATTTCTAAATCATTTATCCTGATATTTAAGATCCCTCTTATAAAATTCATTCAAGAATTACTTTTAAAAATACATACCGAATAGACAGTCAAATCCAAACCTTTCCTTCAATTGAGTTTCACAATTTGAAAGGTCTTTGTAAATTGTAAAACAACCTATTACTTATGACATAACACAAATCAGTGTCATCCCTGGTATAAAGGGATAGTCAGCTGCCCAAGTACTCTTCACCCTGTTACTCTACCTGGGAGATAATGTTCTCCCGTGCTTTTTTGCCACATGCAGTTAGGTAGGGAAGTTACTATACCTGTGCCCCACGTGGAACTATGGTTCTTATAAACTGACCTTGCTGTTAGAAGCATTTGTTATTTAGTAGAGTTCTGCAGAGAAATGTTGTATGGTGAAGAAGCATAAATTGTTTTGTATTCTATTTGTTAAATCCAGAATTGGGTTTTCTGATGACTAAGAGGCTTCGTCATATGTCATACTGAAGTTTAACAGATAAACTGTTCCTGTTCTTCTCTGCCACTTGTGACCTTGGGCAAGTCCCTTACAAGCTCTCTGATTTTTCATCTTCTCTAATATAAATTGGCTTTACTACTATCTTCTCTGTTTATACCTTCAGTGATACCAAAGGGTACTCAGAGAGATCAAGCAGGAAAATGTATGTGAAAGTAGTTTGTCACAATCACAATTAGAACAACAAGAGTAATAGCTACATGTATTCAGCATTTAATATTTGTCAAGCACAGCTTTACAAGAATTAGCTCATTTAACTCTTATCATTACTCGAAGATATGCAAGGTCTATTGTCCCAATTTTACAGACAGGAAACCAAGGCATAGAGGATAGGTAACTTTACAAGTATCCTCAGCAAAAAAGTTGAAAAAATTGTCATGTACTACCTATGCCCCAGGCACAGTAAAACAATAATATGAAAGTTGATGCATAATGTAAGAAATAACATCTTACAGAAAAATAAAATCAGATGAGCCAGCTGAGGTTCAGCAAAGTTTTATGGCTTACTCAATGCCAAGTGTTACATTTTTAAAGTATCTATGATTTACAAGATATTCAGAATATGTCTGACGTACTCTATTATTAAGACGAGGGAAGTATAAGAAAGCTGTTAGAAACCTGGGGGCTGGATTCAACAGTTATGTTTTAAATTTAGCACCACAAAACCAGCTATTTTACTGGAAGATTAAATATGTCCAGACATTTATAAAAATAAGTACTTAAGAAATTTTAGTTTCTATTACTATAACTGCCCAATTCCTGTAGCTGAGTCCCAAAGCACATCAAGAAATCTAAATAAAATCATATAGTTCTCTTTGAATGTGCTAATGGAGCATTTGCAATGTCTGGATTTGGAAATTTATAAAACAGGAGAGCCTCACATGAGAAATTTTTGTTTTACTCTTTCCTAATTAGTCGATGTAAAAAGAGAAAAACCTACAAATTCACATCATAATTAAGAATTAGTTCAGAAATAGATTTTCATTCATTTCTTTCCATTTTCTGCATATTGGTACAAAAAAATCTATTAGAAATAAGAAGAAGAGGGCAAAGATAACTTCCTAACTAGGGAAGGGAAGAGGGCCTAATCCCCATGGGCCAATGGAACATCAGGCATCCATGGGCCTATGGACACAAAGAACATGACTTGATGCCAAATCAGACAGCACAACTCAAATCCTGCTCTTCCACTATTAGCTGGGTGGCCCTGGGCAAAGCTACTTAATTTCTGTGACTCTATCAAGAGCTTCTGAACATAGAGCTGCTCAGCTAGTCCTCTATGATGGATTCCCTGGGATCTAGGGCAACTGTTGTCCTTGTGGAGTTTGAGGTATGAATCACCTCGTTTCACATGGTCCTAAAGGTACTTTTTGGAGACTTTCAGGATAAGACTGGCCAGTCTAGGTAGACACAAGACATACATCATGGGAATTTGTTGAATAAATAGGGCCCTACTTAGCAATGAACCAAGCAAGTATCAAGAGTCTACCTGAGCAAGGATTCCCTCTATAGCAGGCATACCTGATATCCTGTCAGGTTAGGAAAAGTCCTCTCTACTTCATGGACAACCCCAACCCCTTAAAACTAGGCCTGCTATCCTCTAATACCTCTTATTTCCAAACACACAGCATAACTGAGCAGGATGAAGGAAGACAAGCTATGACTTTAAGAATATTCACTTAACTAACTACAATCTGAGTGAGCAATTGAGGGTGAATTTCACATATGATCATAGCCCACAAAAGTCCTAAGCAGCTTGAATTATGTATTTTCCCACCATCCCATGCCACCATGGCCCAGCTCTCCCCCACCCCAGCTTGGCCTTCTGTCAATCTCTAACTCATCTAACAGGGCTTTTGAGCTTGAGGCTGCCAAAGACAGGGGAATGGATCCCTGTGAAAAAGAAACTTCCTTCTGAGGTGCTGAACACCACCTTATAGGTAGAACTGATTTTCCAATTCATCTAGAACTATGGTTCAGGAGGCATTTCCCAGCTTGGGAGTTAAATTTATACTGCAAAATGGGAAAGCCTGAAAATGATGCTGGCTGTTTGGGGACAGAATATATGTGTAATGTAGGAATTGCAATTTATTAGGATTTGATCAGCACATGTATGTCATGTGACTCTTGCTTAGCATGTATAAATGCTCAAAAAAAAAATTGGTAGCTAGTATAATAGCAACCCTTGAAGATCTCCAAGATAGTAGGCACGAATACCTTTAACTAGCATCATTGGTTGCTCATCTCTCATTTTCATTTTGTTAGGAGAAAGTCTCCCTTTTTATTGATCAGGAGACAAGAACAAGGAGTTTAAGGAACTTGTCTAAAATCTCACAGTATTCAGAAGGAGCCAGTTCAATTCTGGAATTTGGGCTCACAAACACTATGTGTTTTCATCTCCCTGGTTAAGGTGAGAAAACAGATTTATAGACAATAACCTGCCTGAGGGAATACTACTACTTAGATTTGAAACAGAAGTACAAATTACAGCTACATCTTCTTTTAAACACTAAGCTATTTCTAGACCCAAGTCCAGAGACTTATGGACCCAGAATAGTTTTCACACACTAAAACATGGAACAACAAGGTATATGGACTCACAGTGAATTTTAAAATATGGAAACCCAATCGAACATTGGTTGATGACATCTTCTGGTCACTGATAACCCCTGTGCTTCTAAAGCTGCTGAAGACTCCAAATGCATGAATCTGTCCGTATGCCAAGAGCTTTATCATAAGACCTGGCAGCTCATGATTAAAGAGGCACTAGAGTCCACAGAAATGCCCTTTCAAATATTTTCCACATTTGTTCTCCCTTCAGGCCATGAAAAAGCATTTCCAGCAACAGCTGAAATGAACCTGTTTTCTTAAAAAAGGATTGGAATAGTTTGGGTGCAACACTTATAAAGAAAGGTTCCTGGTACCCCAGACCATGAAACAGTCAGAGATGGAGTAGGACTATTTGAAGTGGTTCATGGAGAAGTTCAAGGACTTTAAAACTTCTAAGCAGGAAGGTTCCTGAGCCATCATTGTCCAACCCTTTTCTACTTAATAAGGATGCAATGGAACTGAAGGGAGTTGTCCAAAGCCACTGAGCAGGTTAATGAGTGGCAGAGCCAGAACCTGTAATAAGAGATTGGACATGCCAGGATTGCAAATATTCTTAGTCCAAGACTTACTCTTAGAGTAGACATTTCACATTCTCACTTTTGATTACACTTAAGTCCAGGTACAAACTCTCATTGTCAAATACTGATTTCAAACATTGTAAAAAAAATAAAAAAAAAAGGTTCTCATTTACATATCTTTCAAAAGACAACTTTAATGCCAAATCAAGAAATTTTATGCCTAATGTCATAGACCCTGACTAAGAGTTGCTTTAAAATACATATAAAGCTTTTTATAGATTATATAAAGACAGAGATATATTTTTTAAAAAAAAATTGAGATGGGAGACTGGGGCATTAATTTGTCCCTGATAAATACAAAGCAAAGAATCACAAACTCCCTTGACTGAAGGACAGGGTGTTGAAATTGGGAATAAAGCCAGCTATTAAAAACAGGAATGGTGGGGCCCGGGATGTGGCTCAAGCGGTAGCGCGCTCGCCTGGCATGCGTGCAGCCCAGGTTCAATCCTCAGCACCACATACACACAAAGATGTTGCGTCCGCCGAAAACTAAAAAATAAATATTCTCATTCTCTCTCTCTCTCTCTCTCTCTCTCTCTTA